AAAAACTAAGCCGCTGTGTGTCCCCGTGAAAAGAAGCTTCAGCAGGGCACATTCCTTTCCTCCGCGGACAGGCCGGAAGGCATGTGGTCTCCCCGGCCGCTCTGGCCGGGTGGTCAGTTAGGAGGGAAGCGAGGAAACACTGCTAAGTCTTCATTTCATTTAAGTATGCACTTTTTTTTTCAATGTGCTCTTCTTCCCTTTGATTTTTACCATTTCTGCTGAAGTCTCCCAAAAGGAAGAGTGCTTTGTTGTGATAAGCTTGATACTTCCCTATGGTTTGTGTAATTTAAAAATACTGTAGGCTATTTTGGGCAGTGATCCTGAAACTCCTCACTTTGTTTTAATGGCTACACAAAATATTTTCTAAGACCTTTGAGATTTTTTTGGAAACATCTGTGGAAAATACCTTCTAAAAAAGTCACCGTCTCTACAAAAGCAGTAGTCAGGACATGTTCACTTTACTTCTCAGTCTTGTATGTAAAGAGTTACGTGTTGCTTAACATTACCGTCATACCTGATTCCACTGATTTATCAGATTGAATACGTGTGGTTCTGCTGCGAGGCATTCACCTCTGCTCCCCGTTCCCGCCCGCGCACTGTGCCCTTGCTTGAAATGGTACAACTGTTTGTGCCATTGCATAATAAATCAGCAGCTGAGAAGGATTGATAGGTCATTTTTCTTCCCTTTTTTTTTTTTTTTTTTTTTGTTTGCCGGTAGGTTGCTCTGTTTGGTCACCCCCAGCAGCAGAAACAACTGTCAGGGCTACTGAGGTGCTGGGGCCAGGGCAGGAGTGAGTGAGTGGCTGGCAAAGGAGAAAGGCTGGGGGGAGCCAGTGGCTGTTAAGCCAGCCTGGCTACCAGAAGAAATGTCTGTGAAACTGCAGTTTGAATATTTTTTAACAGAAAAATTTCCCACGCAGCTTTCCGCAGCTGCTGTTGTGAAACCAGTCAAGTCAGCTGTCATCCAGGCAGTTCAAATCGCGGCGCTGTCTGTTTTCAAGTACACCAGGTTTTCAAGTTTTGGGATCTCGGGCAAGCTGGCACTGCACCCTCCGTGAGCTCCGGAAGAGTAGCACCGAGCAAAGCAGGCAGCCGGTCTACCTTGTGGAGGCCTTGGCGTTGCGGTGGGTTAGCGTGAGGGGGCCAGCTGATTGTAGGTATTTGTAGAAAGCATAAACATTTGCGTAGTGCTTGTAATTATTGTCAGACTGTGGTGCTCACCCGGTGAGGAGATGTAAAGCTAGAGAGGGAGCCGGGGTGGCTGTACTTGCTGCCTGGCTTGTGGGAGCCTTTGGATGAGAAAGACTTGAAGCCAGAACCTGCTGCAGCATGACAAAACTCCTGCCACAGCAGCCTGTCTTTTGGATGCCATTCCGCTGGGCTCTTGGAGACCCTGGACTTGGAAGAATCACAGGACTTCGAAGGAGCTCTGTAGGTACAGACCAGGATTTTCAAGGCCTGCCTGCTGGCAGCGATTGCAGATCTTGAGTTGTCTGGGTTGCCTCTATCCTGAAAACCGCACAGCTCCTCCCTTCTGCAGAACTGGTTCTTTGGAGGAGCTTTTGTTTAATGATAAGCTAAATCTGTAAAAGATTTGTGACATTACTTGCTTTTTTCACAGCCCATTTTTTTTACCATGGGAAGAATTTGTTGCTGGCTTGCATTTCTGCACTGGTGGGTCCTGAGCCCCTGGGCAGACCATCTCTGCGGTCAAAAGGCAGAGGCGAGGCGAGATGGGCCATGCCCACAGTAAAGCATGCAGCATCAGAGGGACTGCACGTTGACCACAACCTTTTAACAGAGAACTTGTTGTATCTTGTGGGCTTTGAAGTCTGTCACCCAAAGATAACATCTTTGAAACCTCCCAGGTCAGTAGGTTGTGGCCAGTATCTTACTCTTCAGGACAGAGACTGTTTTCATTTATTTTTGCATAACACCTATTTCATTGTGGCCCACTAACTCCGGAATGTAGTTAGTCATAACCAGCATTTAAAGAAGAGGGGGGAAAAAAAAAAAACCAAAAAAGCCCAAACCACGAAACTTGGGACTGTGGCTGAATAATATAACCAACTTTCTATGGTTTCCATGGCTATTCAGAGCGCTTAAAGGAGTGCATCTGAAAAAAGATGGAGACATTGGTATTTTTCACAAATATTGCCAATTTGTAGGGTACATGCTCAGTATTAGAAACTATCATTAACGTCTCTCTAAGTAATGTGGAACAACGCGTAAGTGAGCTATATATTCTATTTAAGTATTTGTTGCTTTACATAGCAGCTCCAGGGACCCAGGACTGGAATAGCAGACACGTTGCTGGATGTAGTTGAGGTTTCACTGGCAGATCTCTCCAGCACCTGGCTTAGGAAAATGTTGTTCCCCTTACAAATGCCAAAACTGCATACCTTTTTACTTCTGTACTATAGATTTTAACATTATGGTGAGTATGGCCAGCAGTTGAAGTTCATTGTGGATACTTTGGATCTGGCTGATACACACTGAAAGGACCTTTAGTCTTAATCTTTTTTTTTCCATAATTCTGAAGTGGATGGATTGTACTTTTCTGGTATGCTTTTGTTTTGAAATATTATTATTCCATTTGTTTGCTGAATCAGTAACTTGCCATAGTGTCCTTATTTCTTGGACTTGTATTGATGCTGTAAAAATTAACTTAATTTTACTACATATAAAAAATAAAATTGCCATGCAGCCACCCCTGCCTTCTATTTTGAAAGTATACTTGCACGATGTGCTTATGCATGTAGTATTTTTAATTTCCAGCTTTGGTGCCAACATGAGCCCGTTCTGTTTATTCCCCACAGTTGGAGCTTTGTGTGTTTTGGGGAGGATTTCTGTTTTGCAGCAGCAGCAGTTTTAGCAGCTGCATGCTTTGAGGCCTCCGTCTCCTCTGGCATGAGATCCAGTGGTGAACTGAGAGAAGGGCAGCATGGGAGCCAGGTTGGACTGTCCCCATTTTATGTCTTCTGCGAAGTGAAGAGCCATTGCCGAGTGAGGCAAGGGCCCATTTGCTACCCCATTTCTGCAGGGCAGACGGCAGGAGGCCTGAGCCTGGGTTTTGCAGCAGATAGTCATGGCAAGGAAATGGTAAGCTGGGAGTCTTTTCAAGACACTTCTTCAAAATTATTTGCGGCTCTTTGATCAACCAGCCTGGTTGTGAGACTCTGTGAAATTGTATCTGATATGCCTGTCTGCAAACACACACGTGAAGCCCCCCTCTCCGGGTCAGACAGTCATTGATGCTGGCAGAGGAAGTGTCCTGGGTGGTTTGGCACCTGACGGCACATACAAGCCAGGGAAGTTTGCCTGGACGACTCAAATGTGGCACTTGTGCATTTTGAATCCCTTGGCAAGGGCTAAGAAAAGACATCCCTCTCGTAGAAAGCAGGGGGGTCCTCTGAACATCCCTGCGGCCCCTCTGAGGGCTGAGGAGACATGGGGAAAAAACAGCCTCGGTGTGCTCGAGCCGCGGCACTGGCAGCGCGCCGTCCCTGTGCTACGCACCAGCCACAGGGAGCCCCTCAACAGTGGGCGTGCTGAGGGGTGAGGTCCCTCTGGGTCGGCAGCAGTGAGACCTGGAAGAGAGGGTCCCTGCTCCTGGCTGCCTGCTGGTGTCCAAAAATCCCTGTGGTTGCCGTTGCTGGGTTAAGCACGGGAGTCATGTGAAGCTGCTGTCTATTGCAGGGGAGGGCCTGGCCAAGGACAGTGCTGCCCTATGTATAAAAATAAGGCTCGTATTTATATTTTTGTATATGACTTTTCTAAAAGTAGAAGGCAGGGGAGGTGAATCCAGCTTCTTTGAAAGTTAATGATACTGTTGACAGCAAGGAAATAATGAGCATAAAGCTAGATCCCTTTCAGGATTTTTTCAGTACCTTTTTCCCTGTTCAATAAGGCAATTACGTGCTTTTTGCTATGCTTCTTGGGTTTTATCTTGGTGGACCCTCTGTTGCAGGTAGAAAAGAACTGAAATACACAAGGAATTCTGTCTCTAATAACGTTTAAACATTGGAGACAGTATCAGCTAAAGCATGATTTGGTATTATTTTCCTTGCAGCTGTGGATTTTTTTCCTTGCCATCTTGCACGTGGAATCACTGCTTTCACCTTTGCAAAGTGTGTCCAAGTAACTGTGAAGTTGCATTACTTCTCTGGCTTTCTGGAGTACAAGATGGTGCCATTGTATTCTGGGTCCTTCAAGCTCAGCTATCTTTTTCTTTATTTGCAGGAAGCCAAGTATTTCCAGATTCTTTCTCTACCAACCAAAATATTTAGAACTGTTAATGTAGTTTTTTGTTTGTTGGTTTGAGTTTGTTTGGGTTTTTTATAGCTGTTGTCTGTTTATAAAGCCTTCAGTACAACTATCCCAAAGTGTAGCTTAAACAGTTTTCCCTCCCCCCTTTAATTTGCTCAAAGTCTTCAGTAGCATAAAAAGTTCTGTAGCAAAAAAAAAAAAAAAAAAGATGACGTTTTTTGTCTCCGTGTGTACTAGAAAGGGCACCTTCAAAAGGACAGTGTGGTTCTGGTGAATTGAAATGGATCTGTAAATCTTATTTTGAAACAAAACCTGCAGCTTGTCTTCGAAACAAAATGGTTTGGTCTGTGTGTTAAAAGCAAACAGTTTTGGAGTCTGTGCCCTTCTTGTGCAGATTTGTTTTTCCAGTATGGAGGGGGGAGAGTGTATTGCAGGAAATAGGGCCTTACCATTGCAATGCCTGTTCTGCCGGGTGAAATGTGTCAGGACCACAAGCTGCACAGAGATAGCAAAGAGCAGGATTAAGAAATCAGGAGCGGTTCCTCCTCATCCTCTTCACTGTCATCCCTAGCGTGCTTAAACCTAGTGACTTTTGATAAACAAGACAGTCTGCTTCCACTTAAATACTGCTCAGCTGGGAGGAGAGGACTTAAGAAATTCTGGAGTTTTACAGGAAGTCTCCCAGCTTCCCTGTCTGACTTTTGCAATAGGAACCTAAAGGCAGTGATGGAATGACTTGTGTTTTTTGTCTTACTTTCCAGTTGGCCTGCTGCTGCGGTACTGCCGCTTGTTCTTTGTGCTGCAAATGCTGCCCCAAGATAAAACAGTCAACCAGCACCCGCTTCATGTATGCGCTTTACTTCATCCTCGTGACTATCATCTGTTGTGTCATGATGTCAACAACGGTAGCTAACGAAATGAAAACGCACGTAAGTAAGAGACATGAACCCACTGCCGCTCCTGGCAGGAAACGGGGCTCCTTCCACAGCTCTTCATGTATAGCTCTTCTTCTGAGGGTGCTCCCTCAGAAGAGGCGGTTGATTCCTTCCACCCATCCACTTCCAAACCCAGACAGGATGATTTTCCATGCTCAGCCTCTTCCCGTCAATTGCTCACCCGCCGAGTGTGTTTCACAACAGGAAGAGTCAAGGATCACAGGACTAGCAGCCTTCCTCCTCTTTCGTTGTGCGGAAACCCGCTGCAGTGAACCCATCCCAGGTTTGCTGCGTGGGTAGTGTCACTACAGGCTGTTAGGAACATGTTGTAGTAGAAGAAATCGGTTCAGTCTAATGTTGAGTTTGTTTCTGGCAACTTGTTTAGTAGCAGAAGCAGCAAATTAGAAAATAACTCCTCAAGTGTTGCATTTATAATTTTAATTCTGTGTTCTTGGTGCTGTGTGACAGACTACTGCAATGCACAATGCTGCGGATCCTTTACAAGGGGTTTTCTTCAGTGTGCATTGAATCATTGTGTTCACATGGCCTCTAACCACAGCAGATATTGTTCATTTCTAATTGTCTTTTTAATTAAAAAGCTTCAAAAGCATGAAAGCAGCTGTGGCTAAAACTAGAGTTTAAAACTCAAGTTTATTTCAGAGTCTTAATATAACTTTCCTAAGCTAAATACTCACCAGCCTGCTTGCGGTCACACATTAGACCTGTTGTACCACATCTTTGGTTTGGTCTCCTAAGCCACCCAAGTTGCTGTCAGTGGCACAAATTCTCTCTCTCACCCTCTGCAAACTACAAGAAGAAAAGTCTGGTTTTAAGTAGAGGGAACAATGGCTGGATTGCTTAATTCTTAAAAATTAAGTTTCTGCACCAAACTCGGCATCGGGCCTGCTTCGAGGCTGTGAACGCGCTTGCCTTGGAGGTTCAGAAGGCTTCCCTCACTGCGGGCATCTAGTTGTTTTGTGTTACCCTCCCAAGAGGGAGTGCTGGTAGGTGCACAGTTAGGGCTGTTTCCTCACTTAACTAGTTGCTGGTCAAGTTGATGCCCTGCTTACCTTCTGCGCTTGACTTTCAGTTGTCTGTGAAACAGTTCCCTCTGCCGCAGCCCAGCCCCAGAAGCTGGTGGCAGCACCCTGTGCCTGCAACACGGGTGAACCAGCGGGCTTATGATGGGGCTAATGTGAGGGTTTCTGTGCTCTGCTGCCAGTGACCTTTCTTTCTTCCCATTGTACCCTCTTTGTATGTTCTGTCTTAATTTTCTTTCATTTAATAGCACTTTGCTTGAGTTATCCTGCTGCCACCTTCTTACCCCCGACCACCAGAAGTTGCTGACAGCCCTGTAAGAGCACCCAGTACTGACGTGATGCTTGCCTGTGAGCTGCGACTTAAAAACTGTTCAACATGTGTGTGCTGAAACTGCTTGCCAGGAATTACTTTGACTTACTAGATGCTTAGCTTGGCAATAAAGTGAATAACCCAAGGAACTCAAGTGTGTGGGAGACAAATTACGTGCTCATATCCAAATTTCATAAAGTCATTTTCCATCAGTAGTGTGGTTTTAATGCGGCTTATATCCCTAACAAAAAATACTCGCTCTCTATCCAACAGAAAAGTGATTCAAGAAGCCTTCAACAACATGCTTTTCGGTATTGCCAAATTTCTTTTCCAGTTCACAGTCTTGAAAGCTCAGTGTGGGAAGAAGTAGCACAAAGAGTAGCTGTTAGTGTGAAGTGGCAAGATAATCACCCTCTTAATTTAGAGCATTTGATGTCTTTGAATGGGAAATGGACCATCTGAAAGTAGACTTTCTTTATCTGCTCTCTAATTTAATAATTATGTTCGGGGCTATTAAAAGTTCAAAGACTCCTGAAGCTAATTCAGCCCAGTTGTAATAGAGTGCACCTTGAAAATACTTACTCAGAATAACCAGTCTCAGCTTCCCAAAGATGGACTGTGTTTTGAAAGTGCTGGGTGATTCCTTCGCTTTTGGCTGGATTGTGGAGCACTCCTAGCTCCTGAAGCCAGACTGTAAGCAAACACTTTGCATGATGCTTTTAGGACCTCACCCTCTCTTTCTTGAGAGGAGACAGAATTTTAATTAATTTTAATTAGAGTTTTTTAATTTTTGTAATAAAATAAAAAATTAAAATTTTAAATTTTAGTGCAGTCCTTTACGGAGCCATAATCTTGGCAGGGAACTGTGTGTCTGCTTTACCAGTTTAGAGTTCCAATACTCATGCTGATACTACGTGAAAGGAATCTCGCCCTTGTCAGTGAGAGGGTTTTGGTTGATCGGCTATAAATTCCCAAGTCTAAAGTAGTTCTAAAAGTATTTATTGTAGCACTTGGTCCTTTGGCATTATTTTGAGAGGAAGCAACAGCAAATGTGATTCTTTTATGGATAGCTTAAACAGAGACTTTTAAAAAATGTTTGTATTTGTTTTTCAGTATTTATGTAGCCCCATGATCATGCATTCTTTCTCTTAAAAAACATTTAGGACAGTTTTTCAGTTCCCAAGGTGCCAGACACTGCAGGTGCCAGCCCAGAGCTGAGGACCTGCTCTGTGCCCTGCAACATGGCTGGGAAAATGAGGCACTGTCCCAGGGAGCTCAACTTCCACATCCTCACCAAAGTTGGCAGGTAGATGAAATCATGTGTCAGTGGGAGGACACGGTACCTGTGGAGTATTTGGTTATGGTTTCAAAACCTTGGTTCCTAATCTAACCAGCAGCATTTTGAGGATGTTGTATTTTGTGGTGAGCCTTAAGAATCGAACAGTGTCTTTTGGAAAAAAAAGGGGGGGTGTTTTTCCTCTGTTCTTTTCACCCTTCTTTCCCAGCTCCTGAGCTGTTCCTGTGCCCACGGGACACCAAAGGAGAGAGGCCCAAAGGATTAAATTCTGAAAAATGTGCAAAGAAGCCAAGGCATTTGTGTTTGATCTCTGGGTAAGAAGCAAGAGGCAGTGGAGGCGTAGGAAAGGAGTGAATGGTTTTGACTAGGAAAATATTTGAACAGTAGCACGTAGAATAGATTTCAGAGGAGCAAGGATGTGTATCAAAGCAAAGGATAGGATAGAGCATCAATCAAGATATGAGAGCCTCAGTGATGGGGACAGAAAGACAGAAAAGACCAATATGCAGTTACACAAAATGGTTTAGAGACTTGACTCTGTTCCAAAATGAAGCAAAGCAGGACCCAACTTGAAGAAGTGCTTCTATGCCTTGATCCATATATTATTTCTTTTTTCCAGTTATTCCGGTTTTTTGAAAAACAGGTACAGCTTTACTCACAAATGCTCTGTTGAAGCAAAACCTTGCATTTCACAGGCTTTGAAAGGATAACTGAGAGAAGAAAAGGGAGAGAATTGTTTTGGTCTGCCAAAATAGTGTTTTGATTTTTTTTTTTTAATTAAATTTTTAATGTTAAAGCTGTTTCAAAACTAGTGGTTTTAGTCTGAAAATATCCATGTCCTACTTAAATAATGAAAGGAAAAATAAGAAAGATGTTTTCAGGAAAATAAACACCAGTAAAAAACAGTTACGTCAAAGCATTGCAGTTCTAGATGGTTACGTGTTCTGGTAGAGCATGCTTTCGGGCTTTTTTCCCCAGTCAGGTTTATATCTTGGCCCTTAACTCCATTATAGCATGTTAAAACCTAAATTTGCTACCAAAAATGAGGTTTTTAAGTGCAGGTGTCTATTGCCTATTTCTGACAAGAATTTAGTCATAGATGCAAGATGGCATTTGTTTTGATCTGATTGTTTTTTGTTTTTCTATTTCATCTCTTAGCTGCTCAAGATGGGTGGTTTTACCTGGTTTTTTTGCCCTTGTCTCCCCATCTACAATATGTTCTTTCATGCTTCCTCCATTTCCATAATAAAGTTCGTCTGCCATGTTCTCCCTCTGTTGGATGAGAATATCCAGACGAAAGCAGTCTCCTTTGAGCTCTTAAGGCCCATTTCTACATAATTCTTCCTTCCTTTTCCCCCTCTGATGCTATTTCCCGTGCTCCTGCATTCACATGTTTGGGTGCAGACAGACCCAAACTTAGAGGTGGCCAAGTCCCAGCCAGCTGGAGCCTGGACGTGGTGTGGCCGTGTTGGCTTGCTTCTTGCCCTGCATTTATTTCGGGTGCCAGCAGCTTGCAGTGAGGGGAAAGCAAGTTCAGGGCAGTCTGTCCCTGTTTCTGTAAATGTTGCTATCGTCTCACAGGGTTTCACTGCACTCGGAAAATTGCCAACTTTGCTGTGATAACATCATTGCTTGCACAGCAACTGAGGCTTTTACATTATCTGAACGGTTACTGGGTGTCTGCAGGAAGAATGCTTTGTCCCCTACTCAGAGGGCAAAGAATTTAGCTTATGTTGCTTTTAATAGTATGAAAGTAGATATTTCACTATATCAAACTTGGCAAATAACTAATATGTGACTTTAACAGCTGTCAAAACTACCCAGCAAATGGAAAGCCTGGTAAATCACATAGTCTGGGCAGGCTGCTCAGGAGCTGAACGTGTTTCAGAGATACAGAATTTAAAAAAAAAAAAAAATTAGTCTTTTTTAACTTTCAGTGAAGAAGTCACATGTGCCTTGATAAATTGTTCCCAGGAGTAGACCGTCCTTTCACGAAAACATGCCCTTTTCATTACATCAGCCCTTTTGTCCCCAGCGTTGTGCTGATGTTTATTATCTGCTGGGGTCCCCAAGAGTTTGGTTTTATTCTTGTTTTGTTCCTTCAGGATCACAGGTCTCCAAAAGGGGCGTTAAATCCCACAGGACTATTCCTGGGGCCATCACTTATTACTCTATGGTGTTGTGCATACTACATGGTGGCTCAGCTTTTTGCTGCTTGTGTAGGCAGAAACTGAGCCATTGTTCTTGTGAATCCATCCATTTTCTCTCAGCCAGATCTGTAAGGAAATTACTACTAAATGGAGAAAAGAACATACAGGGTCAAAAATCCCATCAAGATCTCTGAAAAAACCTACGCAATTAAGGAAGGTGCCCATTTACAGTTACCCAGATATGTGTTTTTAATTAGCTAGTCAATTAATCAAGTTCCATGGTATTTTTTTGTTTCGTTCTGTAAGTCTCATAAGCAAAATGCTGCTTGGTACCAAGTACAGATCTTACAGAAATCTGTCTCCTTGGTCAGTACTATCGTCTATATCAAACAAATATCTAATTTTCTCAAAAGTATTGTTAGTTCAATATTATGCATCTTTTTAATGTCTGGCTGATGGTTATTATAAGCAAAGAAATGGAAAGCCTTGATAACCCAGTTGCTTTCCGCGGCATTGCTGTGGCCCCTTGGCTTGCCCTGGCATCACTGTGGCATCGATAGGTCTCTTGATTATTCCAGTTAATCCATTTGCTTGTTTCGAATGCTGGCACATTTGCTCAGTCTGACGTTTCATTGCCTTTCAAGACCTGGGAAAGGCATTGCTGATGCTCCAGACAATTTCTCAGGAGCTATCTAAAAACCGTTGGATGTGAGTTAGCCACAGCTACTCTTTTACTGTCCAGCTTCTTACGCAGTGGCTACTCATCTCTGAGTTACTTCTGAAAGAGCATCTCAGAGTGGCCAGGCATGAATCTGTTCTTGTAACACTACGCAGCTGCTGTGAGACCTGCTTTTCATCTCCTCGGCTGCTTCTAGCCTACCTAGGGTCAGCTCAGTACCATAGTTAGGTTTGCTACCCTTAGCACAGCAACTCAGTGTTACTGTGAGCTGCTAAAATAGTTGCTCTTTTTGGGAAGCTGCTAGGAGGGTTGTTAAGCTCCTGACTGGTTTGGGTTGCTGGCACTTGATGGGAAGTTGCGTACCCTGCTGAGGGAAGCAGGCTTTCAGAGCCTGGTGGCTGGAAGTCGGCAGTTTATGTGTTTCCTGCATCTTGAATGGCTTTCTACCCAGCTGGGAACGCTGCCTGATCGCTTGCTCTCGGGTCCTGTTTGTTCTTTCCCTGTGTACTGACCTGCCTGCTGAAGGAAGGAGGGACTCCTGTCTTTGCTAATTTCTTGGAAATGTTCAAGGATGGTGTTGCCCACAATCTTTGCATATTTTTCCTAAGCAAAATCTGGCCTGGCTGAATGCTTTCTGAATTCAGATTCCCATTTCCTTTGCCCGTGTTATTTATTTGTGCATGTTGCATCCTGGTACGCATTGTCTTCTGTCTCTTCCAGTTACCTGTGCAGGCAACAGCGATCGGCTCCAGAGGGTTTGATGTGTTGCTCAACTGGTCTCACCAGCCTCGGCTGAGGACTGTGAGCATACAGAGAGGCCCTTATTTCTTTGAAACGAACAGTGGTTTTCTAATTAAATGCCTGTATTTCTGCACAGCTGAACGGCTCCCTGGCTGCGAGGGAGGGTGTCTGCACAGAGGCACCCCACAGGAGTGGGTCCTGGCAACACAGACCTGCTTTTTTGGGCACCTGGCATCATGTCCACCTGGTGAAACTGAAGCCAAAATGTGCAGCTGTTTGCTTTCCCCTGGTGGCAAGGCCACAAAGGCAAATATTTAATCAGTGAAGAGAAAGGTGGAATTTTCCTGCCTTTCTGTTAATTTAAAACAAAATCAGGGCAACTGGCACAACTCCCTTTCGGAGGCTGTGATGGAGAGGACGGGGCTTGCCCTTGTGCCTCTTGGGTGTGCTTCGGTCTACGTTTCCACCGAGGGCAGCATGAGCCAGAGCTTCCTGCCCTGCAGCCCCATTCATGCCCCTTCGGCTGGTAAAACCTCTGGTATGGCTCATGTAAGCTGGATTACTGAAGCAATCAAAGTCCTTTGCTGTAAAGCACGGGAAGAAGGGAGAGGGTCCCCGGGGTGAGGGGATGGCATAAGCCAACAGAGCTGACGGAAGGGTAGGTGGACTTGTACTCCAAAGCATCTGGAAGGAGTTGAGAGTTGAGGCTCTGGAAAACTCCAGTTCCTTGTGTTTTACATTTCTTTCTGTCCCTTGAACCCTTAAATCCAGGCTGAGGGGTATCAAAAGTGAAAGGTATTAAATTAAGTCAGTGAAAAGTCAGTGGTGCACAGACGTAGACATGCTCAGTTATGAGGAGCCCTGTGTCCCGTCTAACGGTTTGTAATGTTGTGCTTTTCAGATTCCGTTCTACAAGCAGATGTGCAAGGGTATTCAGGCGGGTGAGATGTGCGAGAAGTTGGTAGGATACTCTGCCGTATACAAAGTCTGTTTTGGAATGGCCTGTTTCTTCTTTTTGTTCTTCTTGTTCACCATCAAAATTAACAGCAGCAAAAGCTGCCGAGCATACATTCATAATGGGTGAGTATGTGTTTGTTTGCTTAATTTCCACTTCTCTTTACAGGTTTGTGCTGCCTACTTTCCAGCTGGGTGTAATACTAGGCAAAAAAAAAGCCCAAGCAAAACGAAAGCTGATTTTACTGCTTTTGTCAGAAATAATGCAGTCAAGTGAAAACTAACTAAAGTGGCAATCAGTCATCAAAGGCTGTTTTTTCTCTTGTTGGGCTTTAAATACAGATTTCTCATGGTATTTCAGTTGAAGACCTCTAATTCCTGTTACAACCTCTAATTCCTGTTTTTCCTCTCCTCTTGTCCAGATTCTGGCTCGTTAAACTTATACTTCTGGCAGCAATGTGCTCAGGAGCCTTCTTCATTCCCGATCAGGACACTTTCCTCAATGGTACGTCCTTCTTGTTTTGTTATGCTGCTTCATTCTGTACTACGTTGTGAGTGGTTATAAATCCTAAAGGTCTGATGAACATGATTATTGCCATATTTCTTCAAGTAAAGCCAGTGTAGTCCAGGTGCAAAAGGAATATTTGGAGCTGTTTGGGAGGGACTCTGCATGCACAGAGTACGTGGTCTTCCTGTGAATATGCAGTGAAGAGCATGGTTTTTTCTGACCAAGAGGAGGCCAAATGGGTAGGTAAATATACCACTGTGGTGCTGTCTTGCAAATTCTTTAATTTACAGCAGGGAGCTGTAATGGTGCACAAGGAATTTTTCACTCAGGAACGCAGAGTCGCATGTTAGTTTGGCTTGTGCAGGTAGCTCTGCCGCAGCGCCGCAGCTGGGGTGCGTGCTGCACAGTGGAGAGGTGCCAGTGCTCAAGGGGGCATGGTGACCGGCCAGGCGCTGGTGTTTGCTGCCTGGAAACCTGCAATGCCGCAGAAGAATTGGGATGTTGTTAGCTTTCAGGCTGGTGGCGTAAATGCAGTAAGGTAAAATTAGGGCATGTTTCAAGTGCTCTGCTGACGATGCCGTGCCTAAAGCATTTGTAGTTATGGAAGACACCCTGGCATAGCACAGGCACACGCTGATACTGGCCCAGTGCGTAAATGCCAGCTCTGGGGGTGGCTTCTCACAGGCCTCTTTTGGGCTAGGAGCAAAAATCCCGGTGATACCAAGATGAGCTTCTGCTCTTCAGTTTGCCAGGTACTTCTAAGCCCTTAAGCTGTTGAGTCTGGGGAGGTGGAAAGCGGTGGGATCAGTAACGCAAAGGAGCGGTTGTGTCTGCTGCCTGCTTCCGCTAAGGCTTGCTTGGTTACCTGTGTTTTCAACACCGATCTCCTCTAGCCGGGGTGTTTAAAAGGGGAGGAGGAAGGAGTTACACGGGGGAAGAGAATAGAGTGGGCAGACATACTAGGAGCACAGTCCTCCGGGAAACTAAGGTAAAAACCACTTCAAGTAAACCACTGATAGGTGTAATTCAGCTTCTTGCTCTTACTAGCTGTTTGTTTGATCCTGGTTCAGTTTGATGCCCCAGAAGTAAAGGGCTCCTTATCCCTACTCCTCTCCTCTGCGAAGTCACAAGGTGGTTCTGTGTTCTTGTCCTTAGTATCTAATCACTGTTTGGATTAGAAAGATGTGGCGGTGCAATGCATTGTACTCATGAGCAAGTAAGACTGCTATCATCTTTGCAAGTGACCCTCTTCGTGGTGAAAAGTCGTCAAGAACTGAAGTGTTTGGGGAAAAGGGGGAAAAGAACTTTTGTGCTAATTAGAGTGCTGTTTCTCAACAGCAGTCTAACCTAGTGTGGAGATACAGCATAACAAGCTTTCTTCCCCGAATTAGCGGTTGACTTTTCTGTCTAAAGCTGTATTCTGCACATCCGGCTGAACTGTCCTCCAGTCAGCCTCTGAATTTGAGATTTACACATGGTTTAGGTATTCTGTAGTTTTGTTTTCCCTTTTTTTCCCCTACCATCAGGAAACTGACACTGTTTTGGTTTTTTTTTTTTTTTGAGCGTTCTCTCAGTTTGCTTATGTTTTCTTTTAAAAAAAAAAAAAAAAGCTCTTCCCATGCTTCCCATGCTTAGCAGTTTGTTAACCATGGAGGAGCAGTATCATGTGCAAGCACTAGGTTTGTGTGGGCTGTAGTATTGTTAAATCCACACTGGCCATGCTAACCTAATCTGTGATGAATCCATAAGACATCCCGCAGTGTCCTGCCTGGGGCAGTGGGAGATCCTGAGAGTCTGGCTATTTAATTACTCACTCCATTGGTGGTCTGTTTTTTCCTACTCTACCTCTCCTAAACACACATGCACACCTTGTTCCCTGCCTGTTTTTTATGTACTTTTTTACATGCTAGCTTCTTCCGGTTTTTGTTCTGTTTGTTTGAAGAACAGCATGCTTCTTATCAAGTGCATGCTATAAGTTTCACAAAACCAGACAAATAGTATTTTTGCTTGCTTTCAAATAATGACCTTATGGTACAGTAAAAAAAAAAAAAAAAAATTCTCCACATCATCCACTAAGGGTAACGTGCCCTGACTGTTCTGTTCTTTCACTTCACTTATACAAGCTTTTTTTAAAAGGAAAACACAATGGTAGATATGGCGGAACTTCGCTAATGCACTTCCGTGGTCTTCTTCACTGAAATCTGCTGCACACCTGGAGTCATTTACAGGTTATGGTCTGCACAGCAGCACAAGCTGTATATGCAACTAAACATTTAAATAGGTATCCACATTTCCTCAGAGACTTCTGATGTTGCACGTAAGAGATCTGTTGTCCGAAATATCCAAACAGCTACCTAAATACAGTATGGTTAATGGTTAAGTAGTCAAATAACCTGTCTTAAAACCAGTCAGTGAATACCAAGTGTTCCCGTCTCTTTGGGAGTGGCTAGGAACAGCATTTGTAAATAGATAAGCCCCACCTTTGTTTTTCTGTGGTGCTGGAATCTGGAGGGGAAGAAATTGCCCTTTTTAGTACTGGGTTCCAGTACTTTGCAATTTCAGGGTTTAGATTCCTGTGAAATGCCTTTGCACCACCTCCCTCCTGCCACTCACAAATAAAGGTTTCAGTATTTTCTGTCTGAATATAGTAATTCATAGTCTCCACAAAAATCCTCTAGGTTAGGGAAACTCAGTAAATGTCCTAACAGGCTTACTTTGAAAGTGTAGCAGGTTGCAAGCTGAATTCATCAGGGAGCTAACCTTGAGTTAGCTGAGCTGGCCTTTCAGCTGCAACCTCTCATCTCCTGCTACATCTGCGGGCTGGAATTATTCAAACCGCGTAACAGCTTCACTGCATAGACAATAATTCCATTTTATCTCAAGGGAAAGGCGACTGCAGCTTGACCTATTTTCTGCCTCTCTGCCTTGCAGCCTGGCGCTACGTAGGAGCAACAGGAGGTTTCCTTTTCATTGCCATTCAGCTCATCCTGCTTGTTGAGTTCGCACACAAATGGAATAAAAATTGGTATGTGTTGGGCAAGTAGTTATTTGCATAAAATTTTGGTGGACTCCTGAACAATACATTTCTCGTAACAAAGAATTTAAAAGTGGCATGGATGTAATTTCTGAAAGAAAACACTTTAATGTCAATATTTAGATCTGTTCATCTTTGCTTCATCCACTTTCTCCTTCCCCAGCAGAGATGTTTCCTCTTTATTCAATTCTAGTCTGCTGATTTATTCTTAACCTGAATTGCTTGGCTTCCAATAAGTAGCAGCATGTTGGGATGCAAAAACTCTTACTTTAAGTTGTTTTATATTTTATATGAAAATATACCTGCTAAGAAACAGAGTGGTGTAAAAGAATAAAACTAGATTTGCAAAATGTAACAGGGAAACTGTGGGCAGTGATGTAAACTGGTAAATCCTGCTTTTTTGTGTCAGCTTAATGCACATCAGTTAATTTTTTTTCTTGACATGAGAACTGCTGCTTTCTCTTCAACTTCTTTGCTTTCATCTAAATATGCAAGATCCCATTATCAACTCACATATACCCCATTTTGGCATTGACTTCATTTCTGGTTTAAGCGTATCCTAGCCCTTAGCCTCTCATCGATTTAAAATATTTAAATTGTGCTCCCACATGTGCACAGGAACTCCTGCCTCTGCCTCCACCCTTTCTGTCTCTCATTTCCTCCTCTACAAACCTTTGCAGTCCTCTCTTCTTCTGGTTAGCATACTGACTGCTAAGAGAGAGTTTTAGCAAATCTTTGGGCTTTGTTAGATATCTGTTTTCAGGGAGGAAGAGGTGAGGTCTCCTTATACCACAGATATTTTTACTGCTAATTACTGTAGCTGCTTTTCCGTGGGTGAAAGATTTCCAGCAGCAGCATTTAACTTTAGCACTCTCTACATTAGATATTCTTTTAAAATAAGTCATGTTTCCACGAAACAACAACAACAACAACAACAACAACAAAAAAAACCTTCCATGCACCAAAAGCACCTTTGTGCCAAAACAACTTTTTTAGTTGCTACTCCGAAAAAAAAGCAGTGATCTTTGCAAGAGGTGTTTGGAAGGTGAAAAGAGGAAAACAAGATGAGGGAGACTGGTGGGATAGATGCAAATGGTGAGGAGGCTTTTTGAGCAAAAGGGTAGTAAAACTGTCAAGGTAGCACAAGGGCAGAAGAGAGGCTGAGCCAAGCAATATGCCTTTGCTGTCCTTGTGTGAAGAGCACCACTCGCTAGCTGAGCCTGGGGGAACTCAGGGAGTTCCCTCTGAGGAAATCCCTGAAGTATTGAGCTGAGACGCGCTGACGGCTGATCCCAGAGGTTGGGAGTTCTCGGAGTCACGCTGGGCTATAATTACAGAAACAGCTGGGCATGATAATACAGAAGATAAACACTAATGCTAAGGAATGTTTACCTCTGTTTCATGGGAGGAACCTTGCAAGGGCCTGTGCTGGTGTAGTGAGGTATACATGCTTCAGGAAAGTAAGCACTGTCTTTTGTGTTTGAGGATATGAACTGTTCAGCTATTAGAATTTTATTTTGGGGGGAAGGGAAGGCAAAGATAAGGTGCTTGTCTCTCTCTCCAGGACTGCAGGTGCAAACCACAAGCAGATGTGGAATGGTTTGCTCGCCTTAGTCACACTCATCTTGTACTCCGTTGCTGTGGCAGCCCTGGTCCTCATGGCTCTTTTCTACACGCGCTCAGAGGGCTGCATGTACAACAAGGTCCTGATCGGTGTTAATGGTGGCCTGTGCCTCTTTGTGTCACTGGTGGCCATATCGCCCTGTGTCCAGAATCGTGAGTCCACTGACCTCTTCTCCTCCTGGGTTTCTGGTGCTGCCACAGTTGTGTGCCTGGAGGCATGAGCCATGGGCAGAAAGTCTCATGATAGTTCAGAGGTGGTGCTGCTCTTGCGCCTGTCCCTTTATCTACCCTATGAAGTGCTGTTGCTGGCCCTCAGCTCAGCTGCTAAAACTACAGAGGTGTGAGACATTTTGAGTGTGCCATCAGGCAGTCATACTGTAAAGAAGGCTCATGTGCTGATGGCTGATAATGTGTTGTGGAGCTCATACAACTCTTGCAGTGGTAGCAGTTGAGGTAATAGCTGTCAAACGCCTTCACCACTGTTTTACCATTTACTTTTGACTGCTTGTGATTTACCATATGTAAAGTTTGGGTCTGGAGAAGTTGACAGCAATATTTCGTGCTTCGGTATATTTTATGTGTGCTGTTAGTATCTTGCATACATTGGACCTGGAAATAGTAATTTGAGTGACTCCAACACAAATTTTTCGGGCAAATAAAACTATCATGGCAGCTTCTCAATAGCTTTTGGAAAGCTGGTGCTTTTGGCAAGAGCAGAGGGGTGATTCTTTACTTACGTGGCAATCTTTAATGCCTTTCTAAAACAGCCAGCAGAACTAAAGGATGGACTCTTTTCTCTTTACATGCCAGTGGAAACGTATCTAAACTGCCTCAAAGATTTATGAACTGCTTTAAGTAAAATATGAAAGTTACTCTTCTTTTCTGAAAGATACTAGTGTGCTGTTCTTTAAAGGGTATGAATTTCTTTTTCAGTTTGTTAAAACGTCTGCAAAAATCACTTATTTTCCTCTTTCTTTTAAAGGCCAGCCCCATTCTGGTTTGCTGCAGTCAGGAGTTATCAGCTGCTACGTTATGTACCTCACTTTCTCAGCACTATCCAGCAAGCCACCAGAAACTAGTAAGTTATCTAATGCTTTATATGAATTCTTTTAGACATGCCATGTATTAAAAGCAAGAATTTGGCAAACCTGAATTAACAAATTCAGGGATATAAATAAATCTGTGCAGCAGAGAGACCACGCAATTGGCACTTTCCATCTACCTTAAATGCTTTGGTCTAGGGGAGCTTAACTTAGCTTGGGTGAGTTGCATCTGTTGCTTAACTTACCTTGGGTGAGTTGCATCTGGAATCTGAGCAATTCCAGCTTGTTTCCTACGGACAAATTTCCCAGAGTCTTTTAGTCTATCCGTCATGTGCAAGTGCATGTTCTCGTACGACAGGACATGACTAAATACCTAACATGTTTGGTCACATGATGGGAAAGGAGTTGGAACAAATGGCTCTTGGATACCTCTGGAAGAAGCTGGGTGATCAGCTCCATCCAAAAGTTTACTAGGTCTGCCACCAGTTAGTAGGTGCTGGCCATCAGAGTGGATACTAAAATCACTCCTTTTTTCCTAGAACTGGCCTTAACTCTGGACTCCTAATGGAGCAAAAACTTGAGTACCACTTGTCTTCTGTTTTGAGGGGAAACATTCTGAGAAAGGCCTTGGAGTTATGTTGCAGTTGTTTGAGATGATGCTGTTCTTCAGGAGAGTTCCTGTACTCCGCTTGCCTTCTAAGCATTAGCGTTGCAAGCCAGGAGTAGGGAACTCCCTAGAGTTCTTTATGCTACAAAAACACAGCAAGACTTTACAAGCACAACTCAAACTGTTTCCTTTTCCCAGGTAAAAATCAGATTCACCTATTTGGACAGGGAGCATTCTTTTCACTTACAGAAGACTTTCTGGTTCAAATTAGTAATGCTAAAACCCCCTTCTTTATTATTGCTCAACTTAGTGTTGAATAGTTGAAACAACAATAACTAGAGGGTAAGTAGTCCATTGGCAGGAAAGAGAAGTTTTTACAGATACCTCCCAAGAAGAAAGGGGAGAGATGGGGGAAAGAATCTCTCTCTGACACACTTGTGTAGGCACAGGCGCGCGCGCGCGCGCACACACACACACACACACACACAGAGAGAGAAATGTATTCTAGAGCTAAGACAGAGAAACAGACGGTATTTAGGTGGAGGATTTGCTTATGGAGCTTAAGCAGTGTTTTTGAATGAATATAGAAGGCATCTGAATTACTCCTAAGACTTGACACCCTGTAAAAAAAACCAAAACAAAACAAAACAAAAACAACAGAAAAAAGGGGAAGAAAGTAATGTATGGTATAAAATCATTGGTCTCGCATTACTTCATGCTTGTGACAGTCAAAGCCTTCAGCAGTTAAGTGAATGCTCTGATTCTTCTTCTACCTGTTGCAAGTGTGGTTATTGCATTTGTCAGAGTATGTATCAAGCACGCTCTCTCAGACCTCCTGAATCAGATGTTTCTCCTTGTCTTCCCAGGCCAGAGAACTCTCTTAGTTGTCATCTGCTCTCAGAGATGCTCCTTTCTCCCCTGTCTCTGTGATAAGGACTCTCATACCGGCCTGTGCAGCTTTTACAGTGGCATGTGCTGGAGAGTATATGGGGTGCTGGCACTTATTAAGGTGTCCATGCCCTGTAACTCAGATTTGCCATGAACTTACCTAATGTTGACTCATTCCTCAAGGAGGCACTTTCAAATTGGCTCTCTTGCAAATCGGCCACTTTGCAAACCAGGCTGGAAGAAAATGCAAGTATTTATTTGCAACACGCAAAAAGCAGAGTTGCAAATGTCTTTAGACGGAATGGGCAAACAAGAGGTAATGTCTGTTGAACCTGTGCTTATCGTAGTGTGCCTTAGCTTTTTGGTGCCAGACTTGGCTAAAAGGCCTGCCAAACAGTGGACCTGCCTTGCTGCAGATGTGTCCCTGACGGACACAGGTGGGGGATTCTGCATGTCTCTGGCCAAGGTGTTCATGTGTCCAAAGAAGGGCAACGAAGCTGCTGAAGGGTCTAGAGAACAAGTCTTATGAGGAGCGGCTGAGAGAATTGGGGTTGTTTAGCCTGGAGAAGAGGAGGCTGAGGGGAGACCTTATCCGCTCTACAACTACCTGAAAGGAGGTTGTAGCGAGGTGGGGGTTGGTCTCTTCTCCCAGGTAACTAGCGATAGCACAAGAGGAAACGGCCTCAGGTTGCACCAGGGGAGGTTTAGATTGGATATTAGGAAAAATTTCTTCACTGAAAAGGTTATCAAGCCTTGGAACAGGCTGCCCAGGGAAGTGGTTGAGTCACCATCCCTGGGGATATTTAAAAGACATGGTGTAGACATAGTGCTTAGGGACATGATTTAGTGGCGGACTTGGCAGTGTTAGGTTTGCAGTTGGACTTGATGATCTTAAGGGTCTTTTCCAACCTAAGTGATTCTATGACTCTATAAAGGGTTGTCATCCCTTCTTTTGGTCCCACCTTCACTCTGTCCCTGCTGTGTGCTGATAAAGCTGTTTGTGCAGCCCTGCAGGGCCAGGGGACTGACTTTAAGTTATTTTTAACCTGGGTGCAGCTTTTGCTACATTTTGCCCTCTGCCTCTGCAAACAGTTGTGCTGTCCCAATGGGGGTGCAGAGTGGCTGCTGGAAGGAAGGAGGAGGTGGGAACATAGTTTGCCTTAAATAGCATTGGCTCAAAAAGCTCTCGATTTGAGATAAGGTGCAGCTGTAATCTCTTGCTTTGGAGTGATGCTGCAGGCTACTGATCTGCTTTGCTTTGACCCCAAGCAGACACTGAAAAGCCAGATGTGTCTTGGAACATATCTGAGGACTGAATTGGTTGCATTTCAGGGACCTAGAAGTAGTATTTGTGTAGATGTTAAGATGAAATCTTGCCTGGGACCTAAAAGTAGTATTTGCTTAGATGATAAGATAAAATCTTGTCTTTAACTAGTGCATCTCCTTTTCTTTGGTCTTCTGTATATCAGTCTGAGAACAGGGCAGCTACACACCATTTTTTTTCACCGAGTATGAATTTCATAGTTGTCCTCAAGGCACCCTGTTGTCAAAGAAATTTATGGTCTCAGGTCTCTACTGTCTCAGTGTTATATGGCTCTGTAGTCTTGGTAAAGTGGTGGTAAACTTCCAACTTCTTAGTTCACCAGACAGTTTTTTTCCTTGTTTGTCTGCTCTGGTCAAACAAGAAATTTTAGTACCCTACTAAGTTGCATTTTTGTTTTGCGCAAAACACAGAATCTGCCAGGTCAGATTTATAGAGTTTCTTTCTGTATGATCTTTTCAAAAGATAGATAGAAACCTCCAAAATTTACCTAGCCAGTGTCTGAAGTAATAAAAATATTTCGCTGAAAACCTTCAGTCTGAAGACTGCAAGTGCAGTGAAATGAGCTTTGCTAACTGTTCTCTTTGTTTCTTTTGTTTTCTGAAGTCCTGGATGAAAACAATCAGAACATCACAATCTGTGTACCTGAATTTAGCCAAGGCCTGCACAGAGATGAAAACCTGGTTACTGGCCTAGGTACTACCATTTTGTTTGGCTGCATTTTATATTCTTGGTAAGTCTGGGGGTTTGCAGTTACCTCACTGTAAATGCAATGTTGTGGTCCAACTAGTGAAGGCCTATAGCAAGCCTCATGCAGACAAAGTAATGGAGGATATTTAATAGAACTGAGCTGGAAGGTTCATTGTTCTCCTTAGTTTCAGAATCGTTAGATGTTTTAGCCAAAAATGTTCAACAAGATAAGATAACTTTTGAAACAAATATATTTCATTAAAACCAAATAGAGCAATTTACATCTGGAGGTGGAGGGAAAAAATTTCCAGCTGTCCATGATCCCAAACAGTCTCAGGGTCCTTTGATTCTGTATTTGCTCTTTCTATAAGAAAAAGTCTATGCAGTTATGTCCATCTAAAAAAGCTATCTGAAATGTCTGTAGCCTCCTGGCAGAGGCTATGACTATTCCTTGACGGTCTTTAAAACAAAGAAAACTGTTTGGGAGGGTTTAGGGCTTCCTTTGAACAAGTGATGAGCACACTACTGCCATCAGGATTTGCCAGCGATCTCCTGCTCTAAAAAAACCTGTTTGTGCCCATATAGTTGTGATGCTTACTTTGTATTATTGCAGCTCACGTCAACAAATTAAGTCATGCTCCGGGATGGGGGCTGGGGGAGTTGCTGATGATTGAAAGGTGATGTATCACCTGTTTTGGCTGCGCGGGCTGTCAGGAGACAGCACTGCCTGTCTGCTGCAGGTTTTTGAGCAGATTCTGCTTCCGAATAAGGCCACCTCAAAATTCACGTACTGAAACTCCATCATAATTTTAAAGTGAAAACGAGACACTTTCTGAAGAGGTAACACAGCTACTCTTCTGCTACCAAATATGATATGTGTTCCATTTAATTCTGATATCAAATATATGAATATCATGTATGATGGATCTAGTTCACATTAGAACCATATTTCCAGTGCCTCAGGATGGCATTTCAGGAATGCAGACAACCTTCACATAGCCTGCAGGGGAAGTGCACCATGTAGCTGGGGAGATAAAAAGGCCTTCAGGGGGAATGTTTTGAAGTATTGCTTACTAAGGCTCAGTGTGTACAGCAAAGCATTAACACACATCTCCCTATGGGTAATGGGAAGTTTGCATCACACATCCTGAAAGGGGAAGACTGGGCAAGAAATGTTACTAATCAGAAGAAACTAGAAAGGATTCCCCGCAGACAACTACGATCATGCAAGAGAGTGATTTCCAGCAACTGGTACACTGACAATAGTGGTTGGTAATTTATTTTTCAAAACTGACTGCTGCCAGTGACCTGTTACTTTGCTGGCAAAGCCTTTACAGAATTGCTGAGCCAAAGTGATGGCTGTGAAGTTAATATAAAAGCATTGGTTATGCACAGCAGGGGAGATCTCTTCTGAATTGCAAATTGGAGCACTTAGCTGTTTGCTGCTGTCTGATGGTGATTAATTTACCACCTTTCAGGAGTGACCTACTTTTAAGCTCGTGATTCAGCCTGAGTTGGCCAGCAGCTGTCTGTCAGGCTGGTTTATACTTGTGCAGAACAAACTTTTCACATGCTTAGTGCTGGATGCTGTATCTGGGCAAATGCTTAGCTTAGACATGGGAGTAGACTATTTATGTTTGCCATGGTGTTGAAAAATCATCCTGTTGGGCTTATACTTATGCCGAGGTTTTTGACACCATCTTCTTTTGCTCCTAGTTTGACCTCAACAACACGTGCGAGCTCAGAGGCACTGAGAGGAATATATGCCACACCTGAAACTGAAGTGAGTTCTTGCTTCCTCCCACAGGATTTCTGTGCAGACTTCCTCATGTGCTTTTCTTGCTGGTGTTTTCATGGCTAAGTAATCTGTAATTAGGTGAAAACAAAAGCTTGTTTGTAGCATGTATATGCCACGTGTCTCTGGGTATGGACTTGTCAGAACACTTGTCCATACAGGCCCTTCTGCAGCTCTTGCTGGTCCCGTGGAGGTGCCTTTATGTACTGAAATAATTTGCTGCTCTTGCAGTTTATTTAACATCCTGCAGACTTCCTGTAAATCGTGTAGTGCTCCACACAAGCTTATGTCCTCTCATTTGAAAGAAAAGTCTGCTGGGAAGCTATCAGAAAAAGAAGTGGAGGTGTTCTTGAACATTTTCAGTCCTGGTTGCCTCTGTTTTCATAGCAACTGACTATGATCCTAAGTTCCTATCTCTTATTTTTATTTCCACACATAAGTACTTCCTTTCTTTTTGCCTATAATTTCATCTCGGATTATATTTCTTGTCCCTGTTTCAGCAGTACAGTTTTCTTCATTCCACCTGCCTCTTTCTTTGGCCTTCTTATCCTGGGAACACCCAGAAACACTGGGAAACAAGTGGGTTTTTGCTAAGTAACAGTTACGCCTCACTTAGGCTGGTTAGTGTCACTCTTCAAATATATGTGTATTTGGAGGGTGAATCTCCATCCCTAGCTCTCTCCACATTGGTGTTACTTGCATCTGCAGTTTTAACTTCTCTTTTTCAAGTCTTTAAACAGAGTGTTTGTGTGAATCCAAAAATGCTGAGGCACGTGGTGTTTGCAGTAGCTGGGCGTGGGGAAGCAAAAGGTGTTTCACTGGGGGAGCCTGTCTGCGCCGAAGGAGCTTCCCTCTGGCAGGACAGTGTGACTGGACGGGGCGCCGGTGCCAGCGCTGGGGAGCTAAGCGCCCGGTGGCTCCTCGCGCCGGCCCCAGCCCTCTCGTGCGGGCAGCCTGCCAG